CAGGACCCTACCACAGCTACAGCGCGGGGCGAGGGGGCGGAATGCGAGGCTGGCTTCGGGGGCCCATGGGCCTGTGGTGGCGGGGACGGGAGGCGAGGCCCGGCTGTGTCCCTGGAAACAGCGGGACTCACAGGGGCCAGGGCCCGGGGGGTCGCTGTCCCTGGCTAGCGAGGAGCCGGGTTCAGCGGGGTGGGTTCCCCTTTGTTCCATCTGGATGTCCGGAGCAGGCTGAAGACCGGGGTGCTGCCTGCGTTTGGCCCCAGTCAGGCCCACGGCGCCCGGGCCCTTTGCTGGGTGACCCTCGGGGAGTGTCCCAGGGCCTCGCCTGGCGCTTGGAATTGCGGGGGTGGGGGGGTGAGGTTGCTGCTTAGCTGGCCTTGCCTTTTTTTTTTTTCTTCTCAGGTTTGGAAGTCGGTAATGGCAAGTCTCCTTTGTAACCCTTTTGCAATACTTTACCAGTCAGATCAAGTGTGATATCGTCTCTACCACGTAGTTTCCTGTGACAATCTACCCCTTTATCCCTTGTCCTCCTATTGGTTGTGTGTGTTAGGAAGTTGCACAGCCTCATTACAGACCTGCAGAGCTGTGTCTCCGAGTGTACCTGAGAACCTGGCAGCCACACTAGATATATTTCAAAGAGATGTCTTAGAGTAGTTCTGTTCTGGTCCTGTGAGCCGAGTTCCATTCACAGTTGTGGACACATTTGGTACATTCCTCGAGTGTTACCTTCCAGTTTAGTTTTATCCCAGGAAAATGGGTTTTGTACGCTACAAGACTGCTCTGTGATTCTACCAGAGCAAGGTGGGTAGGTACTATCAGGAGGCTTGCTTCAAAAAGCAAAATTGTGATGTGAACTAGAATGTTAACTGTGGATTCAGCCTTTCTGAACCACTTTAAAAAAATAAGAGGATTTGTACAGTTTTTCCTTATGTAAATAATCCAGGGGAGTTCTTTGTTTTGGCAATGGAGATAACTTGTGAAATGATGTTTAGAGTTTGTCTGAATGTGGAGTATCATTACAGCATTTGTATAAATCTATAATTATATTTTTACTTATAGAACACTGAATCTTTGTTTCCAAGGTTATCAAGATTAATAGAGTTATTGACTGAGTGGATAGTTGTATTTTCAAATGTTCTAATGTTTCTTCATGAAGTTAACCTTTTGGTTAGCCGCTACTACATGTCTGGGACATTGACCTGTAACAGATTGCAAAGGACTGTTGTGGTGTCCTTGTGATGGTATAGGTCTGTTTAAGAAGCTGTTGTGAGTGGGTGTGTCCCTTAGCTTGTTTAGGTGCAAGGATAACTTGAATGAGGACAGTGTCATCCACGGCTGCTGTCCTCAGGTCAAAGCCATGTGGTCTGATGTAAACAAAGAGAAGGTACAATCCCACATTTGTCATGATATCAAAAAATTTTACACAACATTAATCTAGGAAACCTTAAGATCTAGATCTTAACACTGAGTATTTTCTCATGTAGTAATAAAGATTAAATCTATTTTTGTTGTTGGTGTGTTATGTGCAACTCATCTGAAGCTAAGCTTCCAGTTTGATAATGTTCTGAGATTATTCTGCTGTTCTAGCTGTAGGTTTGATCTCCAATCTCAGGCAGGAGAGGAGAATGCTTCCGTGCCTCTCAGCTAGCAAATGCGTCAGGTCCCAGATACCCTTCATTTCCACAAATAAGAGAGTAGCTGAAACTTAAGTGCTTAAGCACCCATCTCTGCGCATATACGAATTAAATGGATATCTTGACTTTCTGTGGGTTTTGGCTCATTGCATGCCAGGTAAAAGAACCCAGATTTTGGGACAACAGCAACAGCTAACTTGCAAAACTGGGATTTAAGATGGAGCATATAAACTGGAGCAAGGATCTGTGCTCTCTGAACATGGTGGCTTTGTATCGCAGGTGCGCAGGAATGGAAACAGCCGTTATGCACGATTACATGTTCTGTTCTAAGAGTTTTAGAAGTTTTATATTTTGTTGAACATCACTTTATTAGTGGTGCTACTTTCAAATAGTGCTTCTGATTGAGCACTGCTGTTGGCAGTAATCGCTTCTGCTGTTTTGGACATGTATACCCTCTTGAAGTGGCTTTGGTTTCTTTTGTCACGTCAAAAGGATAGTTTGGTAATTCTTGCTTCAGGGATGATCCCTTCGGTAAAGAAGGTTCTGTAGAAATCAAACCCTGCGTGACCTGTATCAGTATTCCTAATAGATTTTTTTCTGAATAGTCTATCGCTTTTGCAACAAAGTAAGCTGATTTTCTTAGCTTTACTTCAACAGGATACAAAACATTGAATAACAATGTTGTGATTTTGGGGTTGGATTTTTTTATGCTGTTTTTTCTGTTCTACCCTGAGTCCATTTGAACTCTGTTAAACACAGTAATCTCATTCCCATCTTTCCCTAACTCAAAAAAGGATGTGCACGTGTTTGTGGTAGATCCTTGTTGAAACATAAGATTTTTATCAGTTGTGCTCATGATCTAGAAGCAATAAACATCATCTGACATTTTCTTTTATGGTGGTTTTGTAAACAGGCTAACAGTCAAATAAAAGAATGCCACATCTGTTGCTTTACCCCTGAGCCAGCTACCAGATCAGTGAAGGAAATCAAACTGGTGTGGCATGATTTGCACTGACAGACCTGCTGTTCACTTTTCACCAGTTTATTATCTTACATTTATTCTTAAATTGATTAATAATTTGTTTAACATTGTTTCCCTGGACAATAGATAATTACTTTGGATTGCAGATACCTGGGGAGAGAAGTCTTGCTTGCATTTTTCCCATTATCTCAACCTCCATGAACACGTGAAGATAACTGATAGACAGTTCTCTCAGTGTGATTTTTCTTAAGTAATTTAGGATGGAAGAAATAAGGTTTGAATTAACGTTTTGTCTGGAAACTGTAAAGTCTGGGAGTGAGGTGGAATTTTATTTTAATTGTATACAAAAACTAATGGAGTAATTCAATCTGAAATCTAATGGTCGGCTGAATGCCATGATTTTTCAAGCCTTGAATTATCTGGATGTATGCAGCTGCTTCTCTTTTCCTAGGGCATTATACTATAAAGTAAGTACTGCAAGACTAACAGGACTGCATGTTTTATAGCAACAATTTTTCTAGAACCTTAAATTGTGTGTTCTGGCTTTGCAAGATGAACCGATCTGTTTCCCATGACTCCAGACAGCTAGGGTTTTGGGTTTTTTTTAGAACTAGAATATGTCTGCAGAATATGTCAAATTTTTCTTTTTATTTTCATCTTACAGATGATATAATTAAGCTGAACAAGAAAGAAGAGAGAAAGCAATATTCTCCCAAAATGAAAAGAGGGCTTCAGCAGAATCGAACTCGACAGTTCAGGACACCAGGCTCCAAGTGGGGAATCCAACAGCAGAAAGGTGTATATGCTCAACACAACGTGTATTGCACAGTAATTTTTTCTGAGCTGAAATGTAACCTAATGTATGGATTGCTTTTCAAATAGTGTCATATGCAGTTTTAATTATAATACAGATCTTTGTGATCCGTTTATGTTTGGTTTTGGTTCAGTGTGAGAAAGTCATTAATGTGTTTGCCCAACATCTGGCTTAGGTGCTTGAGGGACTATTTGGTTCAAGGAGGGATTGACTTTGTTTCTGATTTTTGAAAAATTTATTTTAATTTTGGAAAGTGTGTTGATGCTTTGTCCCTTCTCAGAGATGGATAGAAAGAATGCTTATGCCAAAGCCTGTGTATTCGAAAATGTGGAGGCCTTGCCAGATCTCAGAGCTTTGTGCAAAAGAGCCAGCATATTTATATTTGCTAGGTAAAATTCTCCTAGTAGGCCTCCCCAAAATAGCTGTTACTGCAGACTGTATTTCTGGCTCTGGGATATATAAATGGATAATGCAGAGTGTCTGAGTCAGCTTTTCTTGTTAAGAGCTTGGGATGCAAAGGAAGTATCGTGTCAGCCTTCTTAAGCTGATGTTTTTACAGAGGAATTCAAAAGGGGGAAAAAATATAGGCAGGGAGTGAAGAGAGGGAAAGTGCACAATAACAGCTTTACTGTAGATTCCCTGAGTAACTCAGGGTTTTTTTGATAAACAGGAGTCATTCTAGAATGATTTCCAGGTTTTAGTCCAGTACATGGCCAGCACCTGCTTGAAGTATAGACTGATTTTGCTTACATTTAATTTTTGAAAAGTACCTTTTTAGCACTGGATAATCAAAATATAGAAAAGTACTGTCTAATCAAAAAGCTTACCACCTCAATACCAGCTAATTATGTGCTTAAGTTAATACATGCAAATTTCTTGTTTAGTAGCATTCACTTAAATGCACATCCACCTGGTGTATTCACAGTGATCCCCATTTTATCTTTGTCCTGCTTAATGTTTGTTGTAGCAGCAGCTCGTTGTTAGCATCTTAGACCCAAATGTCTGGGGGGGATCAGTGGAATGTCATGTTGCTCAGGGCTCGGAGGAGTTCTGCTTTTTATACAGGCCAACATGGCAGTGTGCTTCTTTAGTAAATTGGTGACAGTCTGGGAAAATATTTTACGTCAGCCCAAGCATAAGAATATTTGTGTAGGTGAATTTAAGTGGTAGATCATCAAACATGTAGGGTTCTGTTTATTACCATGGTTGTCAAATGCAATTGTTTATGATCTGAAGGGCATAAAAGAAGCAAGTATTAAGAGTTCAGAATTTCAGGAGGAACTTGAGTTACAAATGTAAAAGTCGAAATACAACTGTCTTGGCAGTAATTTTTCTCTCTTGGAACCTTCCCTCCTTTCCTGTCCTTGTTCTAGGAAAAAGCAAATATTTTTTTCAAAATCACCAGATTCATGACATGTTGAAACATTGTCAATAGCTTTAACTGCTCTCCTATTCAGCTTCACACATTTTCTCCCATTGAAAGCAAACCTCTTTCATATTGTTTTTTTGAGCAGAAGGTATCATTAAATAGTTGTTCTGAGCATTGTAGGTATTAGTAGCCTATAACCGATAGATTTATTGCTGTTCTGTGGCTGTTGAAGTTATTCTGATAAGTAGCAAATCCTGTTGTTTGTGGACAGCTACAGAAACCACAAATGATCAACAGCATTCAGTTCCTTGTGGTTTTAGAAGTGGTTGCCAAACTCTCTGGAAATAAGCAAGGAACTTGAACTGGGAATCTTTTAATCTTTTTTGGGGAGAAACAGAGAGAAGAATATTGTTAATTTAAATAAAAGTTGTCCTTGGTGCTACACAGACTGCAACTGCACAAAAACCTGTGCAGCCTGAGCTAACTTTGAGGTTGTGATTTAATTGAGCACAGTTTGATCCAGAGATCCCTTTCAGCCTAAGTAACCCTGTTTCTCAGCTTTTCTATTGGAGAAGAAGAGCATTTGCTAACTGTCCACAAAATGTGGGTACATAGCAGTTTCTCCATGGCCAATTTGTCTGTTGGGTTCAGACCAATCACTTACCTTATGGGATGGCTCCTGTCTCTTGAAGAAGCTCAGATATTTTATTGATGCTGTGAAGTCAGATATGTCAAAATCAGATATGTCTGTTGATGTAGAGCCAACTCTTTAGCCTTAAATTTATCTTGTGGTCTGAGGTTCTAGAAGGGATGATACTTGGGGATAAAACTGAAGCATGGTCTGTATTCTTAGCATGAAGCTAAATTTCTCCAGACAGGGTTAACCAAACCCTTGTAACTGGACATTTGAGATGTTTATACTACAGACCTCCGACTTACAAGCCTTTTATATTCAAAGGCTCCTTTTAGTTCTCAGTTTCATCCAGACTGCCATGCAGACTTCTAATTGAAAACACTTTAAATGTGATGTAATTCATACACTGTTTAATATGGTTTGTGGGCCAATTGCTAGGTTCTTTTTTCTTAAGTCATGTCTAGGGAGCCACTAATCTAAATAAGTAAGCTTTGAAGTTGCTTTTTTTCTTTTTCTTCAATATAAACTGGTAATTTAAAGTTTGCCGAATGGGTTGGGAGCTGGTTTGGTTTTGTTTTGATTTTGTATTATTCAGCAATTGATATAGTTCCATCTCAGAGTATTTTGGTAGTTTTCTATGCCAAAATGACTCTTAAGTTACTCCTGTAGACGTGTCCAATAATAAATTTTCAACAGAAATTAATGCAATGAGCTAGAACAAAATTTCAATCTAGATGAGAAGCTGATTATTTTTGTGCTAGGGCTTGGGCCAGACCTGCTAAACTAACTGAATAAGCAAACCGTCTTTAAATGTAGTGATAGCTTCTGCTCTAAGGCTTCAAGTGTGCAGCAATATAACTTGTGTTGCCTGCATCTTAAAGCAATAAATTTTTTCTTTCGGTAAGAATCGTTGAACTCTTCATGCTTGTTGCAGGTTATGGTAAAAATCGCTTGGGACGCAGAAAGAAGATAGCAGGGAAGAAGCGTTCTTATGGAGTTATAACTGGCTTGGCAGCCAAGAAAGCAATGGGTTCGCACAAAGGAATTAGTCCTCTGAACAGACAGCCACTTAGCGAGAAGGTAATTAATGCAATTCTAGTGGTTCATGTGAGAACAGATCAAAAAATGAAACACAATGGCTTCAGAACAGTGCTACTGAAATATAAAATTGAGACATCTGGTATAACCTTTTATTAAATTGGGGCTGTGTTAGCTGAGTTCTTGTTTGTTTTGAGAGGGGTGGTTAATGACTAGGTTTGAAAGTTTTTCAACACTTAATTGGGTTGCAAGTCATGAAAACTGGCATACTGAAGTATGTTCTGTGCAAATACAGAGGTATTTACAAGAAAATCTCACTTACTAGGGTTTCTTGTCTTTGCATTGCTTTGTTACAAACCAGTGACTCAGCTGACATGCAGGTGTTAAGCATGTGCCTGTTACAAAAAATGGAAGTTTTTGCAAAATACTTAACTCCATCAGTAGGCTCCCTCTTTTGCACTCCTCCAGTGCATTGTTGTCCACTCCATCTCATTCAGTATTGGAGAACAGGGATTGCTTTTGCATTTGTGAAGGGTAATTTTAAAGATGTGTGGAGCGCATTTTGTCAGTTTAGGGAGATACAGTAATCAAAAAGTAACTGCTAAGCTCTGCTTTTTTTTTTTTTTTTCCTGGTAATGAAGGGAATATCGAATTCATGAAAGTGTAGAAGGTGTTTTCAAATTATACTAGACTGTGAAAAGTAGTCAAAGCCAAATATATTCTATATGCAGTTTGTGAATGGAAACAGAAGTGTTTGTGTGTGTATCCAGTATACATATATGCTATATATATTTATTGGTTTTTTTAAGAATGCACAGCGGAATTACCCAGTTTTGAAAAAGAAAACAAACTTGCAGAGACAATCTGAAATGCAGAGAAAACAACCTCCATCCCTCAGGAGGCCTGCCCCACTAAACAGAAGGTAAAATACCAAATCTTCTTTCTGAACTCTTCTAGACAACTTTCCATAGTGAGTCTTGTTTACCAGAACTGAGTCCAAGAGAAGGCAGTAGGTACTAGCAGTAGTAATAAGCTCACGACTGCTGTATGTTTGAAGTTCTGCAAATCTGGAAGCTGAGTGGGGAGACAAACGTTGATACAAAGCCAGATATTTATTACCATGTGGAGCACTCGGGAAGTGCCTCTATTTGTGAGCACCTGGTATGCTGCCTTTATTTAAATCATAAACAGCCTATATGGAAATGGCCAATGTGGAATTCAGTAGCTTTGAAGTGATAGCCATGGTTTAGTGAACTTTCTAAATAAAATGCTGTTGTGGAAGCTGGTGCCATCTTCAGTTTCATGGAAGCTATTGCATGTTTTATTTGTGCTGGAGTTATGGCGATTATAAACTGCATCTTAACTAGTCTCCATGATGAAAATGTTCTCTATGTGACTCTTGTGGAAACTAAACAAACTTTATACATACCAAGTCTGCTCCTTTTTTTTTTTTTATCTAATCATCTGTGTTTAAAGTGATGGAGGATACTGAGAAAAATAAAAAGCAGAGTTAATAACCGTACTGTCCTGTGATGTAGAAGTGCTAGGCTTCTATGTAACAGAAGTGATTTCTCCATTTATGAGTAATGTGTTTTGTTCCTAGTAGATGAGAAGCTTACTGCGACTGAAATGTTTAGCATTGCAGATGTGCTTAGTCACTTTCCTGACTTTCATAGTGGAGCCTTTGATAACTATATTTTAATAAATATTACAGGAATAACATGTCGTCCACTTTTGCCAGAATTGGAAACAAACTAAATCAGCAGAAAGACACTCGTCAAGCAACTTTCCTGTTTAGAAGAGGTCTGAAGGTAATAAAATTTACTGAAAACAACAACAAAATTGTGCCACAGATTCTGAGCTAGCCTGTGACATGGATATTAATGAATCAGTTTTGAATATCAGATCTGAGTAGAAACTTCAGGTGGACTGGGAATAGGCATGGGTTCTTCTAGGACTGTCATCTGTTCAGTCCTGCTTCCTGTTCAGCGCAGCTGGACTGATCACGGGGGCATGGAACTTGTTAGAGTGTTTGAGGGTAGTTGCAAGGTACTCATTCTTCCTTATAAAAGTAAATGTTGTAAAGCACTGTGCAACTTTCAAAAGTTGCCTTCAAGTGAAGGATAGAACAAACATGTTTTAGGATCTGATTATGGGTTTTGTTTGGTTTGGGGTTTTTTTTAGTTGGGGTTATTTATTTTAGTTATTTAAGTTATAATTTTAGTACCTTAAGGATTTTTTAATTATTTTGAGTAAAATCAAAAGAATAGAGTATTCAGTGAATGACAAGTGGTGTTCTTGGTTTTAATTTGTGCCCTCATTCTACATCTGGCATCATTGTGACTAAGTAGCTGCTGTCTTCCATACCACATGGATTGCAGAATTACAGACAGGATCAGGAGGAAGAAAAACAAAACTGAAGTCCTTTAAAGCAGCAGTGGGACTTAGTAGCATACTGGATATTATGTATGTTAACATAGAACAGATTAGGAACTAGCCAGGTTTTTCTTGCTGGCCTGGTAACATTTTGGTGTATCTTAGTAAAGTGTATGTTTGCTGACATGGTCCTCAGGAATGCTTTTATCTCTTTATTGATTAAGTTACTGTCACTGACAATTTTGTTTAAATTGTTTCATGTTCTTAAAGCAATTTCTTTCCAGTGTCTTATAAAGGTAATAAGGTAGTTGCCTCCAAAGTCCCTCTGAAAGTACAACCCTGTTTGTGCAAAGTGTACAAACAGCTTTAAACTTCTATTTTTGAACTTCTTTATTTCCAGCTGCTACAGTGGGAATTGAAACACTTTTCACATCCGGTATCTGTATTAATGTGTTCTCAGGTGCAGGCCCAAGTGCAGTCAACAGATGATCTTGATAATCAGACAGTAAAGAGAACTCGTCAGTAAGTATTTAATTTGGAATTAAACCACAGTTGGGTTACTCATATGATTCTTGTTTTAACTCTGGCTTCCTGGCTATGATAATTGAATGGGTTTTTTTCCCCCTGTAGGCATATCAACTGAGTGACAGTGATCCTCCCCCTGTTCTCAGTCATTTCCTAAATTGTCTTCTGATTTAACCAGGAAGAGTTTGTTTGCATAAGACACTTGCAGGAATGAGGGGGAAGGTGGTAGCTTCAAAGGGTCAGACTGATCTCTACCACTCATGAATACTGCATAGACTGGAAGAAAAATTCAAGTGTCAGTGTTCTCCTGAGCTCTTGATGTAATTGCCATTTTATGTAATATACATACAAGCCTATGAAGTGGTTTGGAAATAAACAAGGCAGGTCACAAGGAGGACACTCAGCTCTCCCCCCATGTATTCTTCCCATTTGGTGCCCTCTAGGCTCTTTGCCATGTGTTTGCTGGTAACACAACAGGCTGAATAATCAGTGTATTCCACAAACCTGCAGTCTGTTGTCTCTTTGATTTGCTGTGAGGACCATTTTGGCCCCATCTGTGGCAAAGAAACTAAATGTTTTTATAAAGAGAACATTTCCATCAGTGCTGTAGTTCTGGTTCACCTTGCCAGCGTGTGATCTAGTGCTCACCTGAATAGGCTTAGATAATGTAAAAGATACAAGAATTAATAGCCAAACTGCTTGTAGATTGTTTGACTGCATGTAGTCTTCATACTGGCCTGTATTCTGAAAGCTTGTACATTCTTTACTAACCAGTGTTTTGGACATACTTTTAAAGATACCCTGACCGAAATTTCTGCTATGTTTTTGGAAGTTATTTCTGTGTTTTTAAACTAGATGGCGAACTTCCACCACAAGTGGAGGGATTCTGACTGTGTCCATTGATAATCCGGGAGCAATCATAACCCCAATGTGAGTCTTCAAAAAACCTCTGAAATGTTTTTAACATAACTGGAATTGCTGTTCTGAGCCATTTAACAAGTTCCTTGCAACAGTATTTTGGGTGACCTCAGGGTCACAGCCTCTTGTGAAGACTTTTAAATGTGACCTCTTCCTGAGTGTTTCTGAGCTTTGTTTGCATAATATTACAGCCGGATTTCACAAGGCATCTCCCAGTTAGTAGCCTCATGTGGTGTACAGAGTTGAAGAGCGGTGGGCTGGTAGATTTCCACTTTGCCTCTTCCAAGTCAGACAGTGCTGCAGCTCTTTTCCTCCCTTATCTGAATGAAAGTGAATGAGCATCTAGTTGATGAGCGATGGTAATAGTTCCTCCCTGATTCATAAAGATACCGCTAGAGTTGTGCTTAAAGAAAGCATTGCTGTATTTGTCTTTGGGAGGTTGATGGTACTGTTGTTTCAAGAGGTGTTTTATTTTGAAATTTTCTTGAGTAGTTTTTTTCATTAGTAGCGTTTTTACTTGTAAGGAAGACTGTACCTATTTTTATTTTTTGTATTTATGGGAATAATTGACTGCAAATTATCAATTTGTCAGTAGGATTGAGAGATAAAAGATAAGATAGCTTCCTGTCAGGACACTTGCTGTCTGATAACAATAACAAATGGTACCTTTTTATAGTTCTGCCTGACTTCTACCTTCTTGAATTTGTGCCCTCCAGTTATTCAACCAGCCTGATCAAATGGCTTGATGAAAAATTCATACCTCTATCAGCATTAAGGCTTTATTGCATAAAACATGTATTCACTGTGTCCTCTCTAACATTCTTCTTTCACAGTTCCCAGAAATTACGATTAACTCGTACTCCTGTGCCACCATTTCTGATGAAGAGGGACCAATCTGAAGAGAAGAAGATTCCCAAAGGGGTTCCATTGCAATTTGATATTAATAGTGTTGGAAAACAGGTAAATGCAGTTTCTTTCCTTAACTGTGGAAATAGTTTCAAGACAGACAAAAGTCAGTGAGCCAGGCACTTTCCTCCTAGACTCACTAGTGACAGAAAGAGGGAACTAGTGACTTGTTTACACTTCCAGTTCTTCCACTAACTTGCTATGTAACTTAAAGCAAGTAACTAAACTCACTCTTCCTGTTCCACTAGTTCATGTGTTGCATGCCCACATGCTTTAAATATGATTTAAAATGTTGAATATTTCTAAAGCCTCCTGGTGTTCTGGCTGTGCTTGAATCAGCAACTGTGCGTAATTCAGGGATAAGCTTCTTTCAGTTGTGTAACCTGCATGGAACTCGGAGTTGAATGTATAAGGCAACTTTTGCTATGCATCTAAGAGAAAACGAATCAAATGTGATGATGTAAAGGCTTGAAAGATGAGCGATTTTTTTTCACGAGTTTTATGAAGACAGACAATGGGGTGCAGGAATCTTAGTGCTGTCATTGAAGTAATTCTTGCCAGATGACAGAGTTAGATGCTGTGCCAGCTGTAGAAAGTTACATGGGATCAGTGTGTTGGTTGGGATTTGTTCCTTCCATGAATAAGCAGTATGCCAAAAATAGTCTACTACTATATTGTAAAATTAATTGAGCTTTTGGACTTCAGTCTACTACCTTAACTGAATGGACTGGAAAGTAACCTGCATTAACACAGTTAAAATGCTGCATTTGTTGAAGTTGCATAGAATCTGTGTAGGGAAATGAGTGTAGTGAAAGTTCCCTTTTTTCAGTCTGTCTGTACTCACTTTAACTTGCCATATTTTGAGTAGACTTTCTGTCTTGACATTGTGTACCATCTTAATGAATTCTGAGAAATGCTAGCTCTTGATGTATAGTCCAATCTGATTTTTAAATGGTGTGAGAAGTGATGAAATAAACTTCCTTTTTTCTTTAAGTGATGCAAGTAAGAAGTCAAGCAATGATACAGAATGAGGAAAAAATTATTCTTGTCTCTATTACTTTGATTAAATTAACCTAACGTCTTTTTACATTTGTGGTGAAATTATTTTTCAGACAGGGATGACATTGAATGAACGTTTTGGGATCTTGAAGGAACAAAGAACAGCGCTGTCTCAGAACAAAGGAAGCCGTTTTGTAACAGTGGGCTAACCTGACAGATGGACTTGAACACTGATCCCACCTACTGAAGAAACTGAAATAAAAGTGGACAGAAGAATACAGCATACGTCACTGAAATTCTCCAGACTTCTTGCTAAGATGATGGCAGAGCTATCTATCTTTATTACTTTTACTTTGAATGGTAAAAGACATGATGCCCTGAGGGGGGGAAAGTGGGGAAACTGATCCACTGGAGTGGCACCATCACCTGGTTGGAAAAGATTCTGTTGCCCAGCTGATGACAAACTGATTTTGGTTTATCTTGCAACCAAAACACAAGAATTTTAAAAGGCTTCTTTTTGTTGTTTAGGAGTGCTCAGTATCTTTTCTTTGACCCTCTGTTATGGTAAAGGTTCTGTATTTCATTACAAACCCCATTTTAGGGTTTTTTAAGGACAGCCTATCAACTTCAATTTGGACTGCAGTTTGGCACAGAGCCTCAGTCCATGAATACTTCGGTGGTGATGTAGCAACATTTTTCATGGGAGCATTGGTTGTACTTCTTTGTGCTTTCAAAGTTCAGTTTTTTTCCTTTCTTGAAAACTAAATGTTTTTCATCCTCACTTTCACAAATAAAGCTGTTAGCTGAGACCCAAAATACATAAATGGGATGGAGACTATTCTACTCTTATCCTTAAAAGTGGTCCAGATTATATTGGAGAAATACTGCATAGCATAGGCAGTATAAGAGTAATTTATATTGCAAATATCTTGAGTTCCATCATTCTCCTCTGTAAATGGAGTATGTCTGTCTCCTATTTTTTCTTAAACTTTTGCTTTCTATTTTTTTTTGTACTTTTTTTTTTTTGCAAACTTAATGCAATAACTTCACATTTTTGAATAATTTCTTAGGAATAAATACATCAGTTCACAAGAAAGTCAGTGGTATGGTAGAGTTCCTTACCCTCTCAGACACAGGATTCTCATCTTGCATACCTTGCCCCAAGAGGGTTTTCTCTGACTCTTACAAATAGCCAGAGGCAAGCAATCTAATGGCATTTGTTTGTATATACCAAAGAGAGGTAAGATGTGAAGCTGATCAGAAGAGGCCAGACATCTTAAAATTGTCTGAAACTGGGGAACATTGCTGGAAGAAAGCCCTTAGTTTGCCAGCGTGTGTAAGGCATTAAGCAGGAGCATGCAGTCATTTACTTTAAGCTTAGCTTTGTGCATCAGAATGTGAAGGATGATAACAAATGCGGCATCCTCAGTCTGAATTTATATGATCCCTAAAAATGAGGCACCTGTTCAGAATCACTTCCAGACCAGGAACTGGTGAACTTAACACTGTTCTATAGCAATGAGATTTAGGTACAGTCAGGTAAAAGAATGATTGGCTTGCTGCATCCAGAAATGTTTATGGTGTTTGAAGTGGGTTTAATTCCTTTTATTGTTCTTGAAGAGTTTACATTTGACTTTTTACAGAGTTGGTTTCCTTGCATTTTTATCTCAAATTCTGAGTTAAATAGCATTTACCAGGAACTTCAACATTGAAAAGCATTTGACTTTGAGGTTATTGACTTTGAGGTTATCAAAAGAAGTTCTTTTGTTTGTATAGCAGTTTTAAAGTCAGAATGCATCCTGATGCTATATAGTACTTAAACCCTTATTTTTAATGTTGAATAGTATACCTTAGCAGAAGCAAACTAAACTTAATGGTGTTAAGGGTTTTTTTTCTTAATTACTAGTAGGAAATTTTTTAAAAAAAATATGTCCCACTGTTAGAATTTGAGTAGGGAAAGTGTGGTCAGTCATCCTGTTTCAGTGTATACATTTTCCATGTGCCAGGATGCAACAAAAAAATTCTTTTGCATCAACATAGATGCAAAACATTGATGCAATGCATCAAAAAATGCTAGTTTGTATTTAATGAGAAGATGCTTTACACTGTACCTTTTGGTATTTTTGGAGAAGTTACTACATTTGATCTATTCTGAAGCTGTTAATTTTTTTTTAAATAAAAAGTTACAGGTTTCATACTGTCTTGTTCCTGTTATAAGCACCTGGGCAATGTATTGGTTATGTGAATTTTCAGATATCCTTCAAGAGGTTCTTAATGATTAAATTCTTACTAAACTTTCTGAAGAATATACCAAAAAGTAGCCTAATTTAAAGAGGGCTTGCATTCATTGCCCAGCTTAATATCCTGGAAATTAAGTACTTCTTGGAGTAGCACTGTATAAGCTCACTTGCATTTAAATGTGTCAGATATTAATGTGTTTTTCAGTGGCACCATCTTAATTTAGTTGTTTGGTGTCTTGCTAGTGAGGTCACTGTAATCTAAACCTTGTATTACAGGATCAGCGTGAGCACCCTGATAAACGACCATGGTTGTTTTTTCTAGTGTGATGCTGGCAGGAGGCTTGCATAAACAGTGGAAGTGCTGATGTTAATTGGTGGTGCAGGAAAAAAATACTACCTGTAAATGTATTTGATAAGGTGTTGAGCATGGTGGATGGCTCAGCACCTGAGTATCTACAGTCTTTGTTCTTCGTTACCAGCTCAAGTCTGTATGGTTGCCAGCTTCGGGCAGTATTCGGACATGCAACAGTTCCAGCATAAACAGCTGATCAGTGCTTTCCCAGAGCAAGACTGGCATTTATTCAGATATTGCAGAGTGTGATCTTTGAAGGATTGATGACATCAAGGAAAAAAACGTGAAGCAGCTGGTACTTTGCCCGCCTAGTTCAGATACGTGTGATCTCTCCTTGGCTGGCTGCTGGAATGGGTCAGAAGACTCACCCAAAAGCCAGATTACCCCAGGCGGGTGGAAAAAACCCTGAAAAGAGGACATTTCAGGTTATTCCTACGGAGTGCTATGCGCTGTCCCTGCCCCTGCGGGCGGGCACTGGTGCGCATGCGCACTCCGCGGGCTGTCAAGGCCAGCGCATGCGCCCTCCCTGCCGGTCCCGGGGCTGCCCCGCGCCTGCGCAGTGGCGCGCGAAGCCCGAGCAGCGGCGGCGGCGGGCTGCGGCGGGGGGAAATGGCGGCCGCGGTGCTGGCGGCGCCGGAGGGCGGCTCTGCCGTGATGCCGGCGGGGAACGCGGCGGCTTGTTCTCCGCCACCTGGCCCCTCAGGTCCGGGTTCGTGGAGCCGCTCCTTGGACCGAGCCTTAGAAGAAGCGGCGGCCAGCGGTACCCTCAGTTTGAGCGGCAGGAAGCTCCGCGACTACCCCCGGGCCAGCGCCGCCAACCACGACCTCAGCGACACCACCCAGGCCGGTGAGGGACGCGGCGTTGAGGAGAGGGGGAGGCGAGACAGCGGGGAAGGGGATTAGGGAAAACGCCTTACCCTGCTCTCGCAAGCGCCTCAGGGCTGGGGGCAGCCGGTGTGGTGGGGTCTGGCGGCCCCCCATCAGAGAGGGCTTGAGGGGGCCTGGCTGTCTTCCCCGCCCCCTCAGGGAGCATTGGGGGTGGGAGGGAGGACAGCCAGCCCTTCGCTACGAGTGAGGATGAGGTTATCAATTTGCTGTCTCTTCAGTAAATTAAAGCTGGGTGCATAAGGAGGAGAAATTTCCACAGAGGATGTTGTTGTTCCCTCCCCTCCCCGCCATTTCTCTTGAAAAGTGTATGTGCGGGTGTAGAGGAAGACTTCTCACCGGAGGCGATGCTTGGCATATTTCTCCTCTTGGGCCGTTTCTCCTTCACGCTTTCGCCCCCTCCCTTCGCTCTCCGCCCTTCCTCTCCGACTGAGGCAGGATGGAGAAGTTGCAGGGTACTCCTCCTTCCTCTGCCCGTCGTGGGTCTGGCCGATGAGATCTCTCCATTTGTTGAGTGTTTTTCTTTGTCATCTTCACGCTAGAGGTGTTTCCCTTATTGGAGGCTGCTTTAAAAAGAGTTATGAGGTTTTTCTCAGTACTGCCACTTACTGATGTGGTTTTAGCCAGACATGTTCTTGGTCTGATGTATGTATATGTGAGTGTGTGTATATACATATTTACACGCCCTTGTCATCGCTTATCTTGTGCTGTTGACAGGAGAAACAAACTTTCCAAGAAGGGCTGTCAGGTGTGCATATGCTAAAGACAACTGTTTCTTGTGCTCTTATGCTTCTGTTATTGTCATTTCTGAAAGCTGTAAGCAAGATATGAAAGGTACAGTGAACAGAAACATGTCCCTTTTCTCCTCTGCTATACCTATGAAAATATTAAGGATTTTTAAGAAATACTTTACAATGTACAGTAATAGGGCTGTTTTTTCCTACTGCTCCTCAAATGTATTCATAGGAGTAGACTAAAAATTCATACTAAGCACCTTGATCATAAGCATTTGTGGAGTATGTTTACATATTGCTGTATTGAATAGAGAGGTGAGACTTGGGAAATGAGAGTTTGTGCAGGATGTAGAAATTTTTTTAATGTATTATATAAAGTATGTTTATTTTGATTGTCTACTTGTATAAGTGAAGTAAAAGTATTTTTAAATGGTGTCAGCATGCTATTTGTTTGTAACTTTGATTACTTCCTATGCAGTCACTTAGATTTTCTGCTGTTTTGTGCTGTGTTGTAGCTTAGAAATAAACTCTAAACATCACTTCTTGAAAGTTACCATGTTTGTTAGTGTTAGTTGTCAGTTAAGTAATTCAAAATGGACCCTGCTTTAAAATTGTCTGACTTCATACTCTGTCTTGTAACATCCTATTTATGCAAAAATCTGTCACTAATACAAAAAAATACAGAAAACCCCCACCCAACAAAATCATCTTGAGACAACTGTGATTTGACTTGAACACATCTATTAATAGAAAACACTTCTTGTTAGGGTATAAAATTTTTTTGTTCGAAGGATTTTCTACAAATGTGGTCACACAATGAATATGTAGTGGGCTAATCTGTGAGCAAATGCAGCATACACATTTGGGAGAGATTTGGGCTTTTTGTTTATAATACTATTCATTTACTGTACTTTTAAACAATTTGTGGGAATTCTTGTTTCCGCCAAGGTCCCCATCTATTGTGATGAATATTTGCATTGTAGTTGTTCAAGAAGCATTAAATGCTAATAAGCGGCAGTGCATACCCTACACTTTTGTGCATTTATCATCACAATGAACCTTAGAAAAAAGCTACAACTGTTCTTAAGTTGTAAGAAGCAATGCTTATTGGAGAGGGTGGGGGACGACACATTCTGTTTAAATTCTCTGTTTTGAAGCCTGCTGTGAATAACTTAATCTTTTTTTAGCGTGGTCTGTTCTATGGCTTTTTTGTTTTGAATAAGGCTGGGCAGTGTAGAAAAATCTACTCAAGTGTTTCTGACCCCCAGTTTTCAGTTGAGTGCTCAACTACAAATTTAATCAACTTCTTTCCCCACATTAATTTCTTTCTTGTGAAAGATCCAATTCTTTTGTATGGGAGTAGCCACAAATAATATGGTATAATGTATATGTGTGTTAGGTGTTATACACACTTAAAATAAACACGTTAAATAACCTCCTAGACTGTAGCCTCTGAGTGCCTTTCTCCATGCTGTACTGTGTTTGTGGAGTTCCATAAAAATCATTGGAATTACTTCCAAAGTATAAAACTGATGACAAAATAATGTATATACATATCTTACTCCTTTTCATGTGACAGACACCTCTCTAGTGTGGATCATGTTATACTGGTATAGCTCATTCCCGTTCTTGCAGTAATAAAAGTAATTGCATGTCACTAACTGCATCAATTCTAAAGAGGTGGGAATGAATCACATCCCTCATTAATGTAACTACACTGCTAGAAAACCAGCATCTAGCATAGCCTTAAGCCTTAACAGAATCACTGGCCTTGCCTAAAAGCTGTTGTTAATGTAGATGAACCAGCAAAGCGGGTCAGAAGGAACCAGGGCGTTAGAGATTAGATGCTTGATCAAGGGTGCTCTGAGGTTGATAGTGGGTGAGGGGAGAATCCCTTTAGTAGATGTCAGCCATAAGGCACATTTTCAAACGTTAATAGGAAGATGACATTTCTTTGGATCTTTTAGGGGTTCAGAGTTGACAGTAATATTAACCCTGGTGCTCAAGCTGCAATATCTTTTAAGTACTGTTCTTAACTACTCACTAGATAATCATCAGAGCTGAGTTTCTGGCAGGTGTAACTTAACTTTGGAAAAATATTTGATAAACAGATCACAGAATATCTCTAGTTGGAAGGGACCTGTAAGGATCGTTGAGTCTAACTCCATGCTCCTCACTGGACCACCTAAAACTAAAACGTATGATCAGATCGGGCTTGCTGCATTTTTATTCTGGAAGTTAATATATTTCTGTTAGGTGTCCGTGGAGAAATGAAGTTCCTTGTTAATCATTTGCCTCAAGTCATGAAACATTTCACTGGAAAGTGAGTTCTCTAGTGTTGTCAGAGCCTCAGCTACTTCTGGGCACTGCTGTCTTTCTGATGATGATGATGACCAACAAGCAGCTTTTTAAACCAAGACCAGTGCTTGAGGTTTGTTCTCAAAACTGAGCAGGTGACTTCAGGCATTGAAGTAATGGTGAGTTTCTGGTTGTTTTGTGCTTTGACTGGAATTAAGATCACGTAATAAAAAGTCAAATTGAAGGTGGAACAGTTGGTGTTTGAGAGCTTTGGAATGGGGAACGTAACTCCCCACAGTGAGTGATGCAGTAATCTCATCTAACGTTTTTGTACATGTGGGGTGGCTCATGTACAAGAAATGCAGTGTAATAATAATTTAGATACTGAAAGAGGGCAAAGCAGCTGTTCTTTTTGCTCATCCCTTACAACTTAATTGGAATTTTAGGAAGTGACTCAAACTTAAAAAGTTCATTGATGAAGAATGAGCAAGCTTCTTCATTAACAAAGCGAGGATGTGATTCTCATTTTCTTTCCTACTCTTTCGTTTAACCTGCATTATCTATCCCCATTTTATCTGGGTTGAATTATGACCCATTTGTTCATTGCACTCTTTTTGTCGACTAGGGAATAGGAAAAGGAAGGGCTATAAAACATCTAGTTAAATATGAAAGGAAGCACCGTTGCATTTTGCCAGTGTTAATGTAGACTCTGATGTCATTATTTGACAGCTTTCCCAGTGGCCTAAAGCATACATTGAGCAGAAAAGTTATTTATCAAATTCTCCGTGACAGCTGTAATTACCTAAACCGCTCACTGTCTCCACTTTTAAAGGAGAAGATGGGAATATGTGAGTTTATGCAGTGTAAGAAATGGCTGTTACATGGAAATCAACTAGTAAGATAATTACATGCAGCATTACTATGTTTTGTTTCTGGAATATATTAATAGTGAAAAAGGATAGCAAGATTCTGAAAAGGATGAAAAAAAATTATCTGCTACTACCTTTTGAATGATTTTGCCGGTAAGGTGTATCTATAGTTTTGTTCTTAGCAGTTCTCCATAGAAATGGTAAAATCTGACCATAGCATCAATAACGTCTATATACTAAGTGCTTACATGGATTTAGAAGGATTACAGTGACTATGTAAGTCTTCTGCAGTAAGAGGTCTCATCGGTATTTTTCTTCCTGCCAGAAATTTAGTTGATATTACCTGATGAAATGTAAAACAGCTTGAGAAGTACAGTATGGCTCATACAGCAGTGGCCATATTTCCCAAGTCTTCATTCTTAAAGCCACAACAACAGAATCCAAACAAGCCTAAAATTAAATAATTGTTTGAAAAAAATAAAAACCCAAACCTCTTTGGGTTACTGTGTCTTGAATTTAATTTTATTATGATCTTTAAGATAACTTGGAAGGAAATGGGATTGTTCTTTGTTCAAGGCACAGACTATTTTTCAGGAGAGTTGACAGTGTTGGTACTTAGATCTCTAAAGCTTCAACATTAAAAATCAAAACCTAACATTTCATTAGGGTAGTTCAGAGGCTTGTGCTGAGATTTGGGTACTTGCCTCTAGCCTTACCAAAACCCAAGCAGAAATACAATGTCCAAAGGTTCTTGTAGCTGTAGGGGTGAGACGGAGGGAGGATGACAATCTTTCTCCAAATTTTAGATGGCAATCTAGCTTGTTCCATTCAGTTCCATTTTTTTGTCTTACCTCCTGTTTGTGTCAGTCCCTTTATAATTTGACTATAGCTCCCTCTTGTTTTCTTTCTTGTTATGTTTCTTCTTATATATGTAGAAAGTCTTGATCTCATGTGTTCTATGCATAAATACTGACAATTCTTAATCTAGACTAATGGAATTATCTGAGAGTGGTGCTTTGGTAAATTGAAGTCAGTTTTCACTTTTTGTTACACTCAAAGTA